TTGCTTAAAATAATACTTCTGCATACAGTATGTGACACTGAGTGTTGCACGGCCAGATACGGCTCAGCTGACTCAGATAAGGAAATATATGATACATTATGATGTGATATGCCACGGACTGTACTTAATGTTACTATGGTCCGGTTACTTGTGTTGTGGCAGATATTTAAGTAAGCTTTCTTAACGCTAATGTTATAATAGTCAGATTGTTCTGAAGATGGGAGGTGACATTCTATTAATGTTCAGGTTCACACAGTCGGTGATTTTTGCCGGCCGTCTTTCCTGCAATGGCAGCTTTTCTGTATTTCCCTTCTCCTGTGATATGACTTGATCGCTTTAAACTCCGCACACTGAGCTCTGATTGGTCAGCAGGCAGTGCTTTCACTAAGTTGAGCTCTTAGGCGGCAACCTAACCTGCTCCGGGGCAGGTTAGCCGCACAGCATAAGTTACCATGGAGATCTAGCCTGCTAAAAAGAGAACCAGCTTCGTAGGACCGGAAACCCCGAGTTTTCCCTGAAGTTAGCCGGCTAAGCGAAAATCCTGCTTCGTAGTATACTCCCCCGTCCTTAATACTGTTGTTATTGTTTCATGTCATTCCTTCTTTGAATCTTTTTTATAATGACATTTATTCAAGGGTTTTTTATTTTTTTTAAGTATTCATTTGATCAGTTGAAGCATTTTAATTTAGTTATTTTGAAACAAACATTGAATGGGGCAAATATATGTTTTGACATCAAACAGAAAACTATTTGGAAATAGATTGTTAGCCAATTAGAAAATTCCCACTCTATGAATTTGCAGAATTTGCTCCAGTCATAATAACATGCCTCTTTGGTGCCACCCATAGAGAAAGAGACCACATTGAAGCTTTTCTACACAGTATTGCACTTTTGAAATAACAAGCCCGTCTGTATCAGAATCAGTGTGTGTGGGTTTATTATGGTATATATTTGGTTAGGAAGAATCATGCAAATGTTTTGTTGTGACATTTTTATGTCGTTAAGCTTCCTTATCTTTCATATCCTTTCTCATTTCTTCCTGATTCCCCCTCTTTGCTCCTGTTGGCTTAGTAACACTAATGAAATGAGATTTTTATGTCACTCATATCCCATGATGCTCCACAGGTCTGGTCCCTCAGCTTATAGGCGTAGCACCTGAGAAGGCTATCAAACTCACCGTGAGTATCTCCCCTCTCATACACAAACTTTAATCCTGCTCCACTCATCATTACACACTTTGTCATGTGCCATTTGTAATACCGGGATGTATTTCACGGGAGCTTCTGCACATCAATGTTAATAATATAAGCGTACACATCACATTACATGAACAGGAGGGAGATGTGGATGAAAGAAACCACATTAAAATGTCAAAAAGTCAAGATAACTGATAGAGGTTCATTATTTTCTTAATTGTCTCTGTTTGTGTCCCTCAGGTGAACGACCTTGTCAGAGACAAGTTCACCGGCAATGACAACTCTATTCCTCTTCTTGCTGAGATTATATCTGGAGCTTGTGTAAGTACCAGGTCCAAATCACTTTCCTGCTCCATCTGTTTGCGAATGCATAAATAAACAATAGACGAGAAGAAGAGATTCTCTGAGGGCTTGTGACTGATTTGTTGTAAAGGCTGTTGAAAAGTAACTCCTGCATGACGAGTGAGTTTATATGTTGAAATAACTTGCTTGCAGAGTTCCATTACTAACAGAGGACTGCGATGCTACATCACATCCGGGATTCAATTGCCATTGTCCAATGCAACATTTTTTCTGTTTCTGTTTTGATAGCGTTGTTCTTCCTTACACACATTGGCCCAGCACACCTTACCCTCCGAGGAAATGGCAAAGTAAATGAATGATGGATTCATGTTTTATTTTTGATATGTTTCATGAGCAAGACTTGGCCTGATCCCTCAGCAGTGTGCATGTGAGATGCAGGAGCAGTCATCTTTTTTTAATGGAAATATTTGGTCAAGCCCTTCTCCCTCTCCATGTCTCCAGGCTGGAGGCTCTCAGGTGATCTTCACCAACCCTCTGGAGATTGTGAAGATTCGTCTGCAGGTGGCAGGCGAGATCACCACTGGACCCCGAGTCAGCGCTCTCAACGTGATCCGTGACCTGGGCTTCTTCGGCCTCTACAAGGTAATGTCATCTTCTCTCAGGCTGCCCAATGATGCGTGCACAGGTAGTGGTTAAAGTCTACTCCAGGGTGGGTTTCTGAACTGCATTATGCTGAGTTTCACCGCGGCTGTCAGCTGTGTTTACTCCTGCCATTCAAACAGGACGTGCTGGAGAGGGGGCGGGGCTTATATCCATGTAAATACTGTGGTGAAAACCAACTACGACAAAATTAACCATGATTTAATTGTAATACACGTTTAAAAAATGATGCCGAAGTAACTAAATACTGATAACGGTCAGTAAAAACCGTGCCTTAATGCTTTGACAAGTGTGCAGACAAGAAAAACCTTTTAAATGCGTGTTTTCTGAATGGAGATCGGATCGATCAGGCTAAACTAACCTGTATCTGCTCCGTCCAAACTCACAACAACGTCCTAAAGACAGGATTAAAGCAGCGACTGTATTCGCCATGACACAGACAGTCTGTGGTTTGTTCATATTTAACTTTCGTCATCCCTCAATGGCCTTTGTTCCCTGGCATGTGGCCTTTGCGCCATGAAAAAATGTGTGACACCAAAGGCCCAAATGGCCTTGCCCCTAAAATGACGAAAATCTAAGCCTGGTCTACTCTCAAGTCTCATACATGTGTCGGTTCTTTGTTTGTCTGTCTAGGGTGCTAAAGCATGTTTCATGAGAGACATCCCCTTCTCTGCGATCTACTTCCCTGCGTACGCCCACCTCAAGACTCAGTTTGCTGATGAGCAAGGCAGGCTGGGCGCTCTGCAGCTTCTCACTGCCGGAGCCATTGCAGGTAACTTCAGATTATGACCCGGAGCAGCAGAGGCCTTCAGTCTGCGCTGTATCTGCACTGTATTTACTAAATACTGCCAAAGAGAGATTACAAAATACCCTTTTAATCACCGTTTCAATTATCAGGATTTCGTTTTTTTTTGTGTCAAGAACTCATAAAGCCATTTCCTGTATCATTGTAGATAAAAAAAATATAGATTGACCCATTGTTTAAGATGGCCATGCACACATCATGTAAAAGATACAAATTGAGGACTAGCCTATTGTCGTTGCCAGTTTCATTGATAATAGTGAAAGCATTGTTTGGCAAATGATCAATATTAACAATCTACATTCCTTGATTATGTCATTCTGTATGTAGCCTGCCTGTCAATCGTTTTCAGGCACATGGAATGGCACCATTTTATTTCAGATACCGTGTTATTGATTATAACGGACTCATGGAGACAACACTTTACACAGGTAAACATGCATCATATGACTTCTTTGTAACTCTATTTCCCAGGTATCCCTGCAGCCTCCCTGGTGACGCCTGCCGATGTCATCAAGACTCGTCTGCAGGTGGCAGCGAGGGCAGGACAGACAACCTACACGGGGGTCATCGACTGCTTCAGGAAGATTATGCAAGAGGAGGGCTTCAGGGCTTTGTGGAAGGGAGCTGGAGGTGTGTGTTTGTGTACACCTGCATGCACACACACACACACACACACACACACACACACACACACACACACACACACACACACACACACACACACACACACACACACACACACACACACACACACACACACACACGACACACACACACACTACACACACGTACTACTACTACGTATAGTAGTACTAGTACTACTAACGTACGTAACTCGTACCTCTCTCTACACAACACGACGACACACTACTCTCTCTACTCACACACAACGACACACACACTCTCTACTACAACAACACACTACACTCTCTCTCTCTTGCACACACACACACACACACACACACACACACACACACACACACACACACACACACACACACACACACACACACACACACACACACACACAGTGTTTGTGTGTGTCCAGATATGTATTTGCGTGTACACTGTGTTAAATTGTCTCTGCATTTCCTCCAGCTCGTATGTGCCGGTCCTCTCCTCAATTCGGCGTGACTCTGGTGACCTATGAGCTCCTGCAGCAGTGGTTCTACGTCGACTTTGGAGGACAGTAAGTGGACTTTTTTGATAAAAGGAAATTGAGCAGTTAGTAACTATCGTGGTTTTTTTTTTTTTACCAACGTAGACATGGAAGTTGGTCGGGGAAGCACATGAGGATGCATCAGCAGTATAGAATTACAGAACATCTGGTTTTAGATGCTGGAAATGCAGTTTAGTGCCTTTTTTAGTTTTCAGCATATTTTTATGATTATCAGAATATCTTGTATTTTGGCCAGGATAATAGTTTCAATACATTTTCAAATAATGCCTAAATACTTGATAATAAATGTAACTATGAAGGTTAAAAGCAACATTTGAACTCATCACTTCCTCTCTCCTCTCTGCAGTCGTCCCGCGGGATCTCAGCCCAAGTCTCGCATCTCAGAGCTTCCTCCCATCAATGCCGACCACGTGGGGGGCTACCGCCTGGCCGCTGCTACCTTTGCAGGGGTGGAGAACAAATTTGGCCTCCACCTTCCCAAGTTCAAGTCCTCCGGGGTGGTGTCCATCCACCACCCAGAGCCTGTCGCTGCCACGCCAGCCTCGGACCCATAGAGGTCTGAACCTCCACGTCATTCTGCCATCCCCCCTCCTCCTCCTCCAGGAGCCAGACACTCGCATAGATACATACACACACACACACACACAGTTTAGACACACTGCACACGTAGGGGCATTTGATTTAGGAACAAAACAACAGCAGGGTGAAGGTGCGCTCGACTGGCTGCTGCTGTGGAGTGCTGACTGTGTTGTGTCTTCAGTGGCTGCTCGCTCCTGGCCTCTCCATCTTTTGTGTTCTCCTCTCCAGCTTTCATATGAAACTGCACTCCTCTCTTTCTCATGAGTACCTGATTTGATTTATATTCAGTTTCTGTCTGATACTCAGTGCGACTCTCTTATTGGACAGCGGGCATAGCAAATATTAAATTGGCCGGCATGGTGTGCGGGGCTTCCCTCTCGATTGGTCCTCCCAAATGAGGTGACATACTGTACATATTGTATAACTGTCCTGAGACAATGTAATGACGGGAAGGAAGAAAGTTACAAGCTCCGTGAGGTTCAGTTGGGATCATGATTCAGTGACTGTAATGTTAGGACGATGTGGGGCCTTCCTGGTCTCTGAGAATCACTCTTACTGATGTACAGAACTTTTCAATTAAGTGTTTTCTTGTTAAAACAAGAATCATGAGAAGAGAATTAGATATTAATAAATTAAATGTATCGCATTCAACCATTGTATTTTATTGAAATAAATCATCCATATGGTTTTAATTTTAACAATATGTCTCGAGTTTTATTCCAATGGAAAAGTGCAACCATTAACTTTATCAGGAACAGTTGGAAGGGTAAGAATACAGTACAATTAGTCATTGCACAATACTGGTTGCTACAGTGCATTTTTTTTATTTTAGCTCATTTTACACATTAGAGAAAGCGTATGAAGCTGACATGTTTACCAGCCTGCTGAGGTTGGACTGCTGCATCCTGGAAGGAATTAAATATTGGATGGAAAATAAAAATCAATTCATGGTCTGGGTTAAACATTTCCAACCTCAGCTTTACAACTTGATTTAAACCTTAACGTAGTTTATTTGGATCCTCATAAAGAGGACAGTCAGGAAACTGTTTCAACTACAGTTACAGAGTATAAAACAATAACCTTTGGTACAGAAATCACTTTGAACTGTACTACTGTCAATAAATTCATGGCAAGTATAGGAACAGATGTTGCCTAGCAGAAAGCTTGTAGTGCTAATCTTAGGTATGTACTACTCAAGCTTTAAGTACAAAGCAGCATTTGTTAAACGAAACTCAACATATTTAAATAAGTGCAACCACCAGAATAAATATTAAATATTGTAGTGGTAGAAATTTAATAATGGCACACTTCTGCACAGGCCAGAGTGCCTGAGTCAGTTAGCACGTTAGCTGATCTAGTAATCATATTCAAGTGCTGCTGAGCATAAAGAGGTCTGATAATGATATGTCAGCTGTTCTTTGTTCGCTCTGCAGAAACACTTTGCCAGCCGTGTGCAAAAGCGTGTTTGGGAAAAATATTAAAACATGTAAAAACACTCAAATGGTAATAAAAGGTGCAGGTACAAAGGTTTGCATATTTAAAAAAAGGACTGAGTTTGCTGAGGCCTCAAGAGAAGAGCAGTATCTGCAGCCCTGAGGGTTTCCTCAAAGCTAGAAGTCCCATCTATGCTGAAAATCACTGTATTCCTGTCAGTTAAACTTTCAACCACTTCCCTGTGGGATCTGTTCTACTGCTGCTACGAGTGACATTCTTTGTCCCTACCGTTGTACTCTAATACTCTTGAAGACACATTTAAAAACACATCTAAAACTTGTCTGAAGCTGTCTTTTCTATCCATTCTAGCTCTGCAAATCTCCTCAGGCCAATTCATGTAGTAGGTAGGTGGAAAAGCTGGAAGCCAGAGAGTGGAGAGCGCGGCTCCTCTGGCAGTGTGGTGTAGTGTGCTATAGGGGGTGTAGTGTACTGGAGGGAAACTTATGAGCGTTTGTCAGTGTGGGGTTTGTATCATCAGGCGTTGGCCAGTTCCTCAGCCTCATCTCGGTTCTCGTTGATCTCAGCCAGCGTCCTGACGAAGCGCGTCCACTCATCAGCCTTAGGCACGCAGATTTGCTGCAGAGAAAAGAATGGACCGAGCATTTAATAAGCAGTCTAAGGTTTAAACCTGTAAGTAAATTCCATATTGAAATAACCAAAGCATCATAGTAACATGAGCAGCCTCTCACCTCCCCTACGTCGTACACCTGCACCTGTCCGTCAGAGTCCCCAGTGGCGATCTCTTTGCCAGAGGGAGCCCACCTCACACGGTTCAGGGCTGGAGCCCCCTCCACATACACACTGGCGGTGGGAACCTAAAAAACACACACCAGCTTACAAATTGCCGATTTACAGATGATGAGCTGTTTCCCATTCTGAAACCACCACATATTCATGTTTATGAAGTATAATATTAGGAATAAAAGCCAATAATACTGTTATTTCTATGTAGGATATATGCTTATTCAATTGAGGCGAAAAAATAAATAACCCTCTCAGTAATCCAGCATTTTTTGGTTTGCAGAGATAATGCCAAGTTATGCTAATAGCCTGCTGGCTTCAGCTGAATAGTAACTCTGAGTGTTACTATTGGAATTGTATAAATCTTATCCTCTTATTATTATTTTTAATTTATATATTTGTTTATGTTATGACAGTTTTCCTAAAATTGTTCTCAATTTTTTTTACTTTTATGTATGCACCATAACATCAAGTCAAATTCCTCGTACGTGTCAACCTACCTGGTAATAAACCTGTTTCTGATTCTCTGACTATCCGCAATAAAGTGAAAGTGAAAAAGCGCACTTCCAAAATGAAACTTGTACTTTGAAGGGTGACATTTCAGTTCTAGGTTTCAGCGCATTGTGTGTGCGCATACTTCTGTGTCATTGTTGAGGTTCCACAGGTCCAGACGTCCAGCCAGGTCCACACAGGCGAACAGAGCCGGGTGTGTTGGAGACCACATGGCATCATAGACATAGTCACAACTGTCCTCAAACGAGTACAACGGACGGGTACTCTGTGCAGAAGAACAGAGGGGGGAAAGGGATTTATGTTAAGAAACAAGACAAATACTGCATCCTATAGTGTAACAGCTTGTCTTTGACTGTAAATGTCTCACCTTGGTGCTCCAGAGTTTGACGGTCCAGTCAAAAGAGGAGGAGATGAAGAGATGAGAGAAGTCGACGGGCCCTCCGGCGCTGTGGCAGCTCAGACCGGTCACCGGACCATGATGGCCCTCAAACACCTCAGTAATACCCGCCTTACTGTAACACACACACACACACACACACACACACACACACACACACACACACACACACACACACACACACACACACACACACACACACACACACACACACACACACATTACTGAAGGCTCTCCACTAACTAATACCTTGTTTCCCCGCAAGGCTTTTCCAGCACTTGTTGGAAGTGTTGCTGCATGCTGGTTGTGAACCAGACATAAATGTGTGCTTTGGTGCTAATGAAGGCAGAGGTCAAAGGTCACACACCTCCCGTGGCGACAGGCTGTGTACACCGAGCCATCCTCGCTCCCCACCACAAAGTTGTTCACGTCTCCCAGAGGGAACGCCATGGAGGTAACGGCCACCGCTTTGCTCTGTTTGAAAACCAGCTCCAGACTGTCCTGCAGGGAGAACAACACACAGCCTCAGTCTCTGACATCTGATACTAGTAAAGGAAGCCTGTGCATCATGCATTCAAGTGTAATGTACCTGTGGCTGGGAGAGCATGTCCAGGCTCCAGGAGCACATTTTGCCGTCAGTGGAAATGCTGATCAGGTTGTTAGCGTTTTGGGTTCCGACCACATTCACACAGTAGACTGGGTGCTGAGGGAAGAGCACAGACAGAGGAGTTAGACAACTGACACTTCATGTAAGAAAAACATGGCTGTAAAACGAACACTAATATAAGCAGTTGTGTTGATCATATTAGATGAACTCAACTTAAGAGTGTCTGTAGAACAAAGGTTCGAGCGCCTTACTGTGTGTGCAGCTGCAGACAGGGGAGTTCTCTGAACGGGGGTGCGCTTGTTGCTCCTGTTGTCCCATAAGACAATCTGTCCGGAGTACGTCCCACCCACCACCAGGTTGGGGTGGAACTTTGCAAAACCGGCTGACATCACCTCTGACTAGAGGAATACAAATAAAAAACAGCTTAAATATAATAATAATAATAATAATAATAATAATAATAGATTTAATTTGTTAGCGCTTTTACAGGTGCTCAAAGACGCTTTACAGATAATAGTGAAGAAATATATATCTATATCTATATATATAGATATATATATATAAATATATCAGCGAAATATTTGTTCTGTCTTGAAGGTCACCTATTATGCAAAATGCACTTTTTTATGTCTTTTGTATTTAAATATATATTTCGTTTTTTATTCCACGGACCCAGAATCAGCACTTCTCTAACAGGGCTGAAGGGGTGTGAGGCATGGCTAGAAAGGTGATGGTTTGGTATTATGAGCAAAACACTTCATAGACATGTTTTTTATATAGGAGGCTTTTAAGCCTAAAACAATTAGATTTGTAATGTGAATTCTTCTTGAAATAATGATTTTAAGCCTGTAGTTTGTAGCGAAATTCCATGTGAACACTTTCCTCACCTGGCAGTGAAAGATGTACTCTGGTGTTTCCTTCTTGTACTTCAAGTTCCAGACCAGAGCCACTCCATCAGGCTCATGGGGGGAATCCTCGTTGTTGTTATACGAGGCCACCAGCAGCTCTGGATACTATGAGGACGACAATTATAAACTCAGTGAAGCAAGGAAACACTTATTTAAGAGTAACAAATGAAGGACCATATTGATCTGTTTGGATGAAAAACAAACCGACCTGAGGGGACCAGTCCAGACAGGTGACCACTCTGTTTTTAGTCCAGCGCTCATCTGCAAACTGCCTGTTCAGAACCAGCTTAGCCCCTGCCTGCAAGTCACTGCGATGAAAAACATTACAAATGATCAACCCTGTCCATCCACCTATCTGCGAGTGAACCCAACGTTTATTGAGTGCCTCACCCCTCCTTATCCTCTAGGTCTCTGCCGCTGTAGTCGAAGCAGACGTCCACGTGCTCAGCCAGAGCTCTCTCCACAATCCTGCTGCCCCGCTCAAAGAACGACAGGAAGTCTTCAGAGTGCAGGACCTGCAGCTTTTCTTCCTCCGTCAGCTCTTTGGGACCGTCTATACACAAATAATTCAATATAGAGAACAAACGAAATTACCAGAAAAGATCTCGCTTACTGGTATCAAAATTCTGGATGGATAGAAATGTGTTAAAGTACTGGTAGGAGTAAGAAAATGAACAGTTGAGACTATTTCCTTACCGTCCTCCTGCCCTTCACCGTCATCTTTCTCCTCCTGGGCATCATCTGCTGTAGGAGGAGCAGTCATCTCCTCATCCTCTTCCTCCTCTGACAACAGATGTTTGTTTTATTTTCATTTTTATTCAGTTTTCAATAGGCCAAGGTAAAACGTTGGCGAAACATTTGGATGTTTTTGTACCTGCTTTTTGATCAGAGTGTGTCAGTGCCTCAGTGGCTGTCTGTGTTTCTTTGCAGTACGACACCATTTCCTTCGGTGCAAAGTCCACCTGGGTCAGTTTGGACATGCCCAGCCTCACAGCTCCACGTCTACACACACATATCATGGAGGAAATAAGCACACATATACACAGGTTTGCAAAATCAGGCAGATTTTGATGCAAATTGTACACGTAAAGACATAAATAATGATGCACAGACATAATACAAACACATTGAGACAAATCTAAAATGAAACCACAAAAAATGTAATCAAGTTGGAAGACAAGCTAAAGGAGAGAGGAGGAGCAGTACCCCATGAGCTCAGAGTCGGAGTGCAGTTGCAGAGTAGAGGGGTCAGGATCCCAATGCAATGTCCTAATACAGCCAAACCACCAGACGGTGTTAGTAAGAGAAAGACAGGACAGACAGAAAGAAAAAAGGAAAACAGAGAGGATGAAACCAAACGCAAAAGGTAAGCCAATAAAGATGTGAGAGGTGAGACAGAGGAGGAGAGACAGAGAGAGAAGGAGGGCGTGTTAATTTGAGAAACATCAGCGTGCCGGTGAAAAGGCAAAAAGGAGACAGGTCAGACATCATTAAGTATTTTGAACATATCAATACACATACAATTACCATGCAGGTACAACCTAAAATGACATAAAAAGTGACCTAAAACAACCGATCCCCATCACTCTCTGTCACACACACACGCACACACACGCATGCACAATACACACACACACACCTTGGTCCTGCGTTTCCATCCCCAGAATCCTGGCTTCCTGCATCGCTGCCCACTGATTTGTTGGAGGGAGACATGGGGGCGGGGACTAGGTAGTGAAACAGACACGTATCCTCTGTTACTACCCTCAGGGGCTGAGCTGCGAGTGTGTGTGTGCATGGTAGTAAGTCAATGAAAGAGTGAGTGAGGAAGTGAGTGAGGGACAAAGGGAGTGAGGCATGGAAGAGGTGCGTGAATGAGTTTGCATGCAGTAAGGAGGACAACACAAAAGGACAAAGGGGAGAGAAGAGAGAATGAAAATAAATGGCAGGCAGGTTTTTTAGGTGTCATGCACAAACAGTAAACAACATGTACAAATGTTCAGATATTGTGTGAGGTGGGGAAGAGAGGGGGGTGGCGGGGGGGTGTGTGGGGCAGTGACGGAAAACCAAGCCAAACCACAAAGTTAGAAGTGACTTTTTTTTATAAACACTGCGATTCCAAGCTGACACTCAGCAAACGATGGGACATAAGTGAGGGCGAAAGATAAAAGATAGAAGCGTGCAGGCGTCTCTCACCGTGGGAAATGTCCGGGGTGATGCCGACGCTCTGCAGCAGCATCTCCGCCTCCCTCCTCTTCCTCTCCAGGTCAGAGTCGTCATGGCCGCCCGCCTCTCCTCCACGCTTTGATTCTCCCTGCAGAGTACAGAATGAGCAGGAATCTGAGCAGCAGCCCCGCAGGTCGTTCAGTGATTCATGAAATAAGAAGTGTTTACAGCACACTTTCTACCACTTACGTCCTTCTTTTTCTTCTCCTCTTCTTTTCTCTTCTTCTCCTCTCGAATTTGGGCAATCCGCTGCTTCTTCCTCTCCAGCTCAGCCTTCAGCTCACTCTTGTCAGACATGCTGCAGGAGAAAGAGACAGATTGTTGTTGTTTTTTAGCATTTTTGTATACTTATTTGAGAGAGGACAATGTAGAAATGGATAAGAGAGAGGGGCATGACTGCAGATGTATTATAGAGCAGAAATTAATAGATTTTCTAGACTTTTCTATTGACTTAATGTTTTAAAAATGTGGATTTTTTGAGTGATTTTTAGGCAAATTATATGTTTTCGGCTCCCATATCTTAAAATGTCAGTGTTTTCTTTCCCATACATAGTAGAGCTAAATATATTTGATTGATGTATGAAAAAAACTAAGAATTAAATGTTATATACGAAACGATTAATAGATTAATTGAGACATTTGATGCAATTGTTTCTTAATCATCATTCTTAAAACTCCATTTGCTTTGACATTTAAATCAAGTACATAGAAGGACGTTTTGGATTGTTTCCATAAGGAACAACAGCTGATACAAATCATTTCAACTAGGTGGGTGCTTGAGTGATAAAGATAAATATATACAGATTATGGGTAATTCATTAAACATAGCATCAGAATCGGAATACCAGTTGCTACAGCATTCAGACTACACACATCAGCTGCTGATTCTGATGTTTAAAAGCAGCAGATCTCAGTAGCCCTGGGCCGGTCATACACATGACATGTGAACACAACCCAGCTGTTGATAACAATGTTCTCTTTATGAGCTTTCTCCATGATGACACAGCTCATCATGGATGACTGGGAGGGTGTATTAGTAAAATAATTAGGCAAGATTATTATAAATCCACTTATAATTACCAAAAGTATATTAGTGTATTAACTTGACTCTTATCTTATAAACATATTCAAAGTCAGCTAGCAATAATCATCAGTGACCCATACAACCTTTTTGAGTTTTGCTCTCAATGTTCATACACAGTTAATACAGCTAGGAACAAGGAAAACCAAACTGGATATACATTTAACGAATATATATCTACATATAAGAAGCAACACATGACCAACAAGTAACACTTAAAGTATGTGCATGTATTCATATTGTAAATACAGGTTGAATAATGAATATTGACGGTGACGGGTAACAGTTCTTTAAAGCTATTTAAAAAATGTAGAATTTTTTAACTTTAGAATTATAATATATATTGGGAGGAGTGGACGTGTTGTTGTCAGAGTTAACAAGCAGTAATATGACATTACACACAAATAAAAGCAACCAAAGTGGTTCTTTACACAATCATATCCTAATTATATTATTAAAGATTCGTGTTCAGTGAAGATGGACAACAAAGATACCATTGTGTCAATTTTATCTTTTATTTTTAATAATTCATTGTTTTTGTTTTTTTGGTGAACGCTTTGTGTTAAGAAACCGTCCTTCTCAGTCGAGTATTTGTCCAACATTTTATAATCTGATTAACGACTGCAGTCACCATGGAGAACTAACTGCTAGCGTGCTAATCTCCATGGCAGCCGGCGGGCCTACTGTCACAATAAATGGAATATAACGGTAGCCTCGCGAACCAACGCCCGAGCCTTTCCGCTTCACCGTGCCGCTCACTGATCCACAAAGAGCAAACACAGTTATGAATATATGATAAAATACCTGATATCAGATGTTAGATTTTAGCAGGCAGATGACAATATAATCCAATTTTGTGTTCGTTAATTCTGAAGAGAAGGGATAGTGGAAAGACTGATGATGCTGGAAGAGAGAGGAAAGCGGCGGCCTTCTTCTTCTGTGGTTGCGGCACAGAGCACAGTGTTAGAGTGTTACCGCCTACTAGCGGCCACACTTATATTTCCCTGAAAGATTCTTAACACTGTGGGTTTTGTCCACAGCTGTTATAAGGATATACTGTATACACTGTTTGTTGCCTGCAGAGGTGGAAGAAGTATTCAGATCCTTTATTTAAGTACAAATTAATAATGCTACATACATGCTTACATACATTTTACTTTTTAGTTCTGTTTTATTTTTCTATTTTGATATGTTTCTATTTTATGTTTGTTTATTTCCTACTCTTTTTCATGCTAACATTATGTGCAATGCCTTGTTTGCTGGCTGCTGTGGCACGCTTTTTTTATCAGTAAAGTATATCTAATCTAATCTGATCTCATTTTACGTTACAATTAAAAGTCCAGAATTAAATTTTCAACAGTAGGATTGTGAAGTTCATTCATAAAATGTTCAGGTGTCATGTTCTTTGCACAACAATTTGAGAGAAACAGTTTTTGTCAAATTACTAGATCATATTCATTTAATATATATACAAATAATCCTGCAAGTAAAAGCAAAATGAGAATCTGAGACATTAAATACTAAAAAATGATACAGCTAAAATATACACATAAATAAAATGTATACATTTGTAGAAGTAATGAATTAAAGCAGGAATGTTGTATGCAAATGTAGGTCTTAATCCATATTCAGAAGTGATTAAAGTATGCGTAAACAGTGTTAAAGCTGGTGTCAGGATAATGGTAAAAAGATAGGAAGATTAAAGTTGATGTGTATCAAGAGAAAAATAGAAAAGAGAAGCATAGGGTAAGTATTTATACTGCAGAATGTCAGTCACATTAAAAAAAAAAAAAGTATACTGGATTTGTAATACTGATGTAAATCATATATTACATATGGATATCTGAAATGGAGCTGATTGTGTCTTACGGTATGGTTGTTAATATGTGGAAATTGCATCAGGGAATTTGCAGATGTTCTTGCCATGCAAATACTTCACAGAGAGTAAAATACCACAATGAGATATAAAAACACACATATTTATAACCATAGGTCAATCATTTTGTATTATTATTTATTTTATTTATTCCATTATTTCCATACAAAAGCATTTTGTGCATATTTCATGAACACCCATACAAATTAACCATTGTATGGGTTAAACAGTATGTAGAAAAATGCACTTATTAACATACTGTTCAATAATATTTTACACATCAGTCCTGTGAAATTGTATTATTTGCATGATTTGAACTCAACCCTTTTTATCCACATATATTTGTTTTGGATTTGCTCACAGTCTTGCCTTGGTTTGGTTTGGTTTGGCGATTTAATTTTGTACCCTGGATAGAAAACTATCATATCTTAAGCGTTTTGTTTTTACTCTGGTTCGGGAGCTGGTTCGGCATACAGGAATGGGTCATAAAGGTCACGCTTGAAATCATAGGGGTCAAAAGCAGGGGCTTCCTCGGTGGCTGGAGCTTCAGGGATGGGTTCCTCGACTTTAGCTTCCTCCTTTGTCTCTGCTTTCTCTTCAACAGGTGCCGCTGCGGCTGTTTCCTGGATCGGGCGGGGAGGATGATCGATGAGACAGTCAGGGTCCCAGTACGGATCGCAGTCATACTCCATACCTTTAACAGTGACCTCAGGAGTAGGGGGAGGCGGGACAACCTTTTTCGGAGTTGGGGGAGGTGGGGGTGGTTTGGCAGGAACAACAGCTTTTATCTCTGCCACTGTTATGGGCCTGCAGTCGGGGTTAGCTCGTGGGTCGCACAGTACTGGAACAGCTCCCGTTGGCAGGTAGACGATCGCAGGATTGCACAGGGAGTCTTTGGGGTTACACAGATAGATCGTCGGAGCATTCTCCAGAGGGTCTGGTGTTGGACCAGGGGTAGTGGTGGGTAGGGGAGGCAGAGTGGTAGTAGTTTGTGGTGCGGTGGTGGTCAGCACACCCATGACACTTTGGTAACTGGAGGCATCTGGGCCGTAGGTCAGCTCCAAGTGACGCATCTGCTGATACAGCATCCGGATCCTGTCGATCTCATACAGCTGAACACAGAAACATATGAGATTTTTGGTTAAATACTGTAACACAAGTAGTCCCACCACCTATGTAATAATTTACGATCAATCCTACTTACTCCTTCAGTGTGTCCAATGCTGTTGTAGAAGCGGTAGTAGGACTGGAAATCAGGAGTGCCTTTGTACCACTTTGGCTCAACGTTCCTCTTTGGGCGAGAGTTAGTCAGGAAATCATGTGCCTGGGCAGAGTCAATGTTAACATTACCTATGGAAAAACACAGATTCAGGAATTAAATGGGGACATTTTTTTTGTTTAATCAATATCTATATTTATTTTGTATTTATCTAAGGGTCAGCAGAGGCATTTTAATTCCTTAACTATTAGTTTAAGTACTAATCTATAAAAACTACAAACTCAACTGACTTTTTTAATAGTTTACAAGTTAACAATTTATGAAGAAAGTTAGTTTTAGTTATAATTAATGTATTACATTTATGTCTTGAAATATCTTAACTTTAGTACAGGTACTACTCAGCTCTTAAGATCATTGAATTATAAATTAAAATTGTGATACGAACCTTTGCAAGAAAATACCTTATTCACCTATCATCATACCTTATTCATAACCTATCATATATATATGTATATGAATACTTTCTAATTAACCATAGGACCTTTATGATAGCATTACAATCTGAAATAAAGTAACACATTAAATACCTCCAGGGTTCTTTAATTTCATCAGAGATGTTGCTTCTAGCAAACCTGGAGAGAAGTAGAGAATATATTAGACACCCCAAACTCAGTTCTTCCCTCTGCAAGACGTTACACAGCAACCAAAGGAGAAATGATTCAAGAAGTCAAGGTAAAAGTAGAAAGTAGAATGATTTCATGCACAAACCTGGCATTAACAACACGTAGCATAGGGCCCTCAACGAGGACACCTGGGAAATCATCCTCAGCATCTGCAGTTGAAATGTCATGCAAAAACAATATTCTACATTCAGTCTTACATCACTGCTATAATACATACGTCTATTTCATAAGTATAAGCAGATACATGCATATTGAAAGCACAACAAATGTTGAAAATAAAACAAGAAAATATGCAAGGACACTTAAAGTTATCAACAATTATGAAGATACCCTGCTGGCAAAATAGAAAACCCCATTCCAATTGTTTTGTATTTAATGTGAAGTAACTAACTGTCTTTCAAACATTTGGCAGAGCAATGTGCACAAAAAGCGTCAAATGCGAAGCAAAGCTACTTCGTCTTACTTTTGAACTTGACCTATAAGACTGAGAAAGAAAACGTAATGTACTCACCTGATGGTGCATCTCCCCAGTCCAGTTCTCATGTGCTGCACAACATAACTGTTCATAAGTACTGCTCTTAATACTGGGGCCTTTCCATTGGCCACTGAGCTGCAAGTTAGCCTAACTCCACCCTCATGCCGTTTCTGTTGAGACGTGGAAGATCTCATTAGTACACTGAGTGTGCACCAGCAGTAAAAGACCAACTTCAAACAAAATGGGTCTCCTTGTAAAGCCACAGGAAATGGTCCTGCAACAGCAGGGCACCTATGGGTGCCCAAGCAGTCCAGTCTCTCAGCTCTTTCTATGGGGTCATAGTCGTGGATGAAGCCATCAGTGGATGTAGAATGTATTCATAAAAAACAATACATCTTCCTAAATCTATAGCTGCCAAACACCCATTGTTTTATGGCCAAAATATGCAAATCATGGCGACATGCACCCCTCTTACTGTAGCCTAATTCTTGACAAAACATGCCTGGAAGGTAAAAATTAACCCTCTGCCCAAAACAGCTGGATATGTCCTTTTAACTTGCTGTTGGCCAGTCAAAAAATAGAGGGTGAGCGAAGTTACCTGCTGTTTAAGTCCCCAAGAAATATGCAAGAATGATGGGCTAGCTTCGTTCAAACACCACTGTAACGCAACCTGGGAAATTGTTGTTTAGGGACTTCAAACGAGCACTTTTATTAGTTTCCGCATTGATAAACATAATTCTGAATGCCTAAATAGAAAATACACATACATGCACAACAAAGGTTAAGGATATTATTATTATTATTATTATTATTATTATTATTATGTACTATTTGGTTAAATATTTAGAACATATAAAACATTTTTGGGTTATTTTGCACTTGTTTTTAACTCTTTGTCCGTCCCGTTTCAATTGGAAACACAATGTTAAGAAACAAATGATATTTTTTAAATGTTTTCTTAAGGACAGAAGTGTGGGTTCAGTTGTCAAACTATGCAAGTGATAACAAATAATGTGGCCATGTGATATAAAAAACCCCACATTTAATATTTCTTAAAAGCACTTCGGGATTTTGAAGTCAAATATGAAGTGCTTTATAAATGAAACCCAATATTATTATTATTAAAGTCTGAACGGGCTACATTTAGTGAAGACTTATGATAGTAAACATTGTTGTATAACCCATTAGAGTCAAATGCTGTGTGTAAGTGTGTTTGTTTTGGCCTTCCCACCGGCTACAAAATGCCATGGAGTGTCATGACATGGAGTCAGACCAAACACCTCCCTCAGAGCAGCCACATACTTGTTTTTAGCTGGCTTCAATGCATTTATTGGTTATCTTTTGACTATCCAAATGTTCCTCTGGGCTCACCTGCCTGCTCAGTGTTTTTCATTTCAACAGTGAAGCTAATTCTATCCTTCAAACCAGCAGGCAAGGCTGCGATCAAAGAGAGGAATAAGGAGACAGGGAGTCTATGTGGGCTTTGCCAGGTGGCTAATGGTGAACATCATCTGGTAATTGCTCTGCACGCAAAAATGTGAGGGTCAGGGTACCTGTTACTTTTAAATGATATACATTTATTTTACCTGTAGCCTACGCTGGGACAAACAGCCGGCTAACAAAATAAATCAACTTATTTTACAGAAGGCTTTAGAAGGGCAAAAATAAAATGCCCCTATAGGAATCTGATACTATCTTTTCAATTTTTGCAGGCTTGTCAGACTTACACTTTTATATTATTTCTATATATTGGCTGTATTTAATCATTACATTAAGCCACTCCTTGTCAATGGATAAGAGCACATCTGGATTTGTATTGTTGTAGCTTGACAATTGTGGAGATAAAAATCACCAAATAATAAACATCATACTGCAATATCTCTAAATGTTAACCATAAATGTTACAAAGCATTTACAATGTTCCATACCCTTCATTCCATTGCCATGCTTTGGCCATATTTCCACTATGCATGTTCAAGGTGCTGCACCATATTCCTGTTGTTAACCATGCTACATTGCAGGTATTTTGGATTCAACTTTCTCTCTTGCTTGCTGAAGAAGAAAATGTGCAGGTCTGGAGTCAACTGGGCGGAAAACAAGGTTGTCAGTTATGGCTAGCCCTAAATTGGTCCTTTCTTGGACCACAAGATTAGGAATGGAATCAGCCTAAACTAAGCCTCATGTCAACACCACTCTTCGTCAGTGGTGGAAGAAGTATTCCGATTCTTAACTTAAATAAAAGTATTAACAACCCCCTCCCCACATATACAAACACACCCATCTAGCACCAGACACTTTTCTACTACACTGCTATGGACAGTCCTTTACACTACTGTACATATTTGTAGTGTTCTAATATGTTCATCCTCATCCGTTTTGAAGTGAATGTTATTTTGTAAATGTCGACGGTTGTGCCTTTCATTTATGCCTCTTAATTTGAGCACGCATATGTGTGTCTATGTTTGATTATGTATATATATATTATATATATATATGAAAATGGTTGTACAGGTATGAATGAATGTATATACTGTATACACATACACACCGAAAACCAGTCAGTATCTGGTGTGAGGGTTAGGATTAGGGTTAGGGTTAGGGTAATGGTTTGAATCGAGTGGCCCATGGTGGTGGTGGGGTTATGGTATGGGCAGGCGTATGTTATGGACGATGAACACAGGCCACTCGATTCACAACATTACCCTAACCCTAACCCTAATCCTAACCCTCACATCAGAAACTGACTGGTTTTCGGACCCCCCCAGACCCCCCCAATAAAGCAAAACTGCACGTTTCAGAGTGGCCTTTTATTGTGGCCAGCCTAAGGCACACCTGTGCAATAATCATGCTGTCTAATCAGCATCTTGATATGCCACACCTGTGAGGTGGGATGGATTATCTCGGCAAAGGAGAAGTGCTCACTATCACAGATTTTTTCAGATTTGTGAACAATATTTGAGAGAAATGGTTATTTTGTGTATATAGAAAATGTTTTAGATCTTTGAGTTCATCTCATGAAAAATGGGAACAAAAACAAAAGTGTTGCGTTTATATTTTTGTTCAGTGTATGTATTGTATATATGTATATTTTTTAATATATTTTTATCTTTACTCCTCGGGATTGTGAGAAACAGCATCTTGATCTCCCTGTCTGCCTCATAAACAGAAGATTGACAATAAAGTTGACTTTGACTGTGAAAATATTCCAAGTAAAATTCTGGCATACAAAACCATACTTAGAGACATAAAACTAGACAAATTCAGCTTAACTGAAAGCTGTAATAGTATTAATAAGAAACAAAGCAGATTTGGTTCTTTCACCCTTTGCTCTTGTTTCCCTTACTGCTGCCTGTTGCCATACCTGAACTCCATAATATTCTGTGGGTGTTGAACACACAGATTTGTTCTGCCCCCAAGTGGCTTACTTGTTGCAGGTTTCAAATCAGCTGAATATACAACCTTTTAGTAAATAGCAGAATCGGGGGAAGTTCAGTGGACACAGGTAAAGCTAATATCACATTAGCTGTTACATGAATTATCAAAGAAGAGAACCTAAAGGGGATATACAGATATAGATTTGAGGGGATTTAACTGTTTCCAGAGTCAGAGACTAATGTTGAGTGTCAGAGGTGGGAGAAGTACTCAGATCTTGTACTTAAGTAAAAGCACCATAGTGCAGGAATACTCTTTTACAAGCAAAAGTCCTGCAATCATAGTGTGACTCAAGAAAAAGTCAGCATCAAAAAATACTTCATTATGCAGTTCGGCCCATTTCAGAATAATATATAATACGTTTTGATTATAAATATTGATGCATTAAAGTATTATCAAAGCTAGTTATAATGACTTTGTATACTGCAGGGTAGCTTGTGAATTTGCTCCAGGTGTTACTAAATTCGAATTTAAGTATTTTATATATCATTAATCCAAATCTGCAAAGTAACTAAAGGTCCTAATTAAAATTATTGGAGTAAAAGAACACTGAATTGTAGTGGAGTAGAAGTACAAAGTAGCATAAAATGGAAATTATCAAACAAAGTACAAGTCCCTCAAAATTGTACAGTACTTGAGTAAAAAAACTTTTTTTTTGTGAAACTGTGCAGTTTTCGAAGCTTTATCTGACTGAAGGCCCGCAGTGTCAGACTTTTAAAAACATTATGATATAAATGTTTGTTATGTAGTACTGATTTTTTTTTTAATACTGGTGTGTGTTCAAAACTTTATATATACAGTCTATGGTTTAAAACTATAATTCATTTGTTGCCAATCTAATGCACAACACTCCAGTCAAGCAGGTGGCGGTAATGTACGACATCTTTGGTTGCCAACCGGCAATATACCTGAAGCAAAGAAGAAGTTCCTGGGTTGTTGACCTGTCAGCGTTGTAGTGCAAGCTGTCACTGCTGATAACTTGTCTGTCCCACCGGTAACGTTAGATCCAGTTTTTGCCTGCAACACAGCGAGTTCCGGGGCGTTGAATTGACAGATTTATCGTACTTCCCGTTGTTGCTGGGGTCAGCTAACCGGCGAGCTAACGGCTAAAGTTAGCTCACAGTCGAATCAGCTTAACAGCTAGCTTGCTAGCTAGCATTCGACGGTAGATAGCCGCGTCAGCTAGCTTTCTTGCAGTTAGCTAGCTAGCCTGCTGGCAGTAGGAGTCTAGGAAGCAGCCCACTCCTGCTAGCAGCATTCCGGACTAAAGCGTACACAAGTAAGTAAGCAGAAACCTTAACAAGACGTTTAACGTTAGCTAATATTGCTATCTGGGTTTACTTAGCATATTGATTTTAAGGATTTTTGCCAGAGGCGAAAGCGTCCAGTAAGCCAGTGTTTGACAGTTGAGCTGCACAACCTGTGTGGCCAGTCAACTTGTCTGTCAGCTGTTTTAGTCATTGATGTAAACTGTTTGATCAGTTTAACAATGCATACTGTGTATTATGCTAACTCGAATACGTTTTGGCATGCCTGTATGACGTTTTCCCAAGTGACATATTAAACTAAGTAGGAAAGCAGACAAGGGGAACATTGTGTGAAATACAGCTGAAGCCTGTGTCCGGGAACTATCAGGCCTAAGAGCGAAATGGGCCCTTGATTTCTGAATTTTAACTCGACCAAAAGCACGATAACATAATAATAGTGACTTTTTAATGGATCTCCCAGTCCACAATGTCAAAAGAAAATAGGTTAAAAATGATTTTGACCATCGATTAATCAATTGAGTATTTTATAAAGCTACATGTAAAAACATTTCTGGTTCCAACTAGAAGCTAGTCCAAGGATTTGCATGGTTGCAAACATAATTTGTGGGGGTTTTAGTCTATTGCTCGATCTATATGAGCATTTTAAAAACTTCATCTGGGGCTCTGGGGAATTCTGACAAGCAGCTTCACTATTTCTATATTTCTGTTAAATTACTGGAGACATTATTTAACATTTTCTTCTGTAATGCCAATTGTGTTAGTAACATCCCTGAATTAACTTGAAGCTACACTAAATGGCAATCTAATTAATTGCATTGTCACACTAAGGTTGCAGGGGCTATTATTGACCTCTGCTGCAAAGAAAAATCACTCTGCACTGTGCTTCGGTTGCTCTCTTATAGCAGCCTGTTTCAGTTATGTTGACACTTGCTGTTCATGTAAATCTCCTTCGGAAGTGTGTGAAAGTCCTGCAGGCTTCTCGCTCTCCGGGCTCAGCTGTTGCCAATATAAAGAGGCAGAGGCTTGTTGTGCAAGAGCCCTGTGTGGGATCAGGTAGCTGTCACTAATAAGATCACGCACAGCCACGTCTATCACACATTTCACTGAGTCACACTTTCATAACTGACCCTATGGTTCAGCCACGGGTTGTGGAGCAAGTTAAAGGGATAGTGCAGTTTTTAAAAGTCGGTGTGTCTATAGTCACAGTATTGCCTACATTAGATGGCGGTTAACTTGCCCCCAGCTTAGAGAAGCATTTAAACGTGCACAGTGCTTGAATTGGAATAAAAAAAGGTGCCAGTACTCTAAATCAGCAACTGTTTCAAGTCAATTTATTTATACAGCCCAAAAACAAGTATTTGGCTCAAAGTCATATCTTATAATGCTGGTGGGTTTGTCTCTTTACTGTATATTTCAGAAAGGCTCACTGACTGTACTTAAACAAAATGACTCGGGGTGCATCTGAGATTAGAGGGGGTGCAGTGGTAAAGTACTATTTTTATAAGTGGGGAGCGGACCTGACACCCTCTAGGGGGGTCCGGGGGAAAGCTCCCCCGGGACGATTTTTTTTTTTAAAATATTGAAGTTAAATGCATCAATCTGGTGCACTTTGAAAGCAAAATGAAGAGATATATGGATACCTCTCAACATCCATATGAAACAACTGTAAACAGATTTAATTTTTCTTTATGGATATAAAAGAAAGTAAAGCCTGACTCCTACTGGCGGCTGGTTTAATGACTCCTCGTCCCTGAGTACACTCACCATCTTTCAGCAGGAAAGGAGAGAGGGAATCCTTGTCCGGCGACAACCGCTGTCTCTTCGCACTATTATTAAGCCACGCTAACATTTTCGAAATGCTAACGTTATGTGATGTCTTTTCTGCTCAAGTCTATCGCTGTGGCGCGTCATAGGGTCGTCATCTGATGGTTCCTACATGTTGTGATTTTAGGCTGTTGCAGGTGCAAGAATATGACTTAGTCCCTGCCATCACTCCAGGCCTATAC